AACTGTTCTTGTTGGAACATAGAGAACTATCTGCTCTCTTTAGTAGCATTAATCAGATTTCCCTCTTCCATCACTACTGCAAGAACAAAGAGGCATGGACACATATACACTACCAAACGTAAGGTAGATAGCTAGTGGGAAGCAGCTGCATAGCACAGGGAGATCAGCTCGGTGCTTTGTGACCGCCTGGAGTGTGGGATAGGGAGCGTGGGAGGGAGGGAGATGCAAGAGGGAAGAGATATGGGAACATATGTATATGTATAACTGATTCACTTTGTTATAAAGGAGAAACTAACACACCATTGTAAAGCAATTATACCCCAATAAAGATGTTAAAAAAAAACAGCTGGATCCTATTCGGCAAAATCTGTAAGTCAATCAGTGGCATTTCACATACATTTCTATTTCTGCACTGCAGCTTCCAAATGCAGATATTTGAGAAATATAAATCTTGCCTGCTCAAAGCCCAAAGGAAACATTTGACTCTAAGTCGTATTCTCACTGATACTTCTTGGTTAAATAAGTCTTAGAAAAACAAATTAAATTACATCAGCAGCTTAAATATTTATTCTCTCTTGTAATTTCCATATCTTAAAGCCAACCTGTTTAACTATTAAATGTACATAGTCCACTTAGAATACAAAACTATAGCTGTAAACTTTTTTCCCCAATGAATTATATGTGATGCCTTAGTCATTAATCGTAAATACTGATACTATTTGTATAAACTAAGCCTTCTGAGTTTTTTCATTCTATTTTAGAGAGAATAATCATTGCCTTCTTATTTTGAACCATCAAAAAAAAAAAAAAAACAGTCTCTTCTGTACCTGGTGTATTTTCATACGAAATAAACACTATTTTGATGCTAATCCTTTGGATAATAGTGTAACACCTTGAAGCTTTTCTAATGTTTTTAACAAAAGAATATACTCTTAGATATGTATTTTTCTCTTCCAAAAATATTCAAAATGTATTCTGAAAGTAAAATAAAACATTTTGGCCAAATTACAATTATTTGCTTTCTTTCCTCTCCTGTCTGCTTTAAAGCAGTAATCACGGGCTTCCCTGGTGGCGCAGTGGTTGAGAGTCCACCTGCCGATGCAGGGGACACGAGTTCGTGCCCCGGTCCGGGAGGTTCCCACATGCCGCGGAGCGGTTGGGCCCGTGAGCCATGGCCGCTGAGCCTGCGCGTCCGGAGCCTGTGCTCCGCAACGGGAGAGGCCACAACAGTGAGAGGCCCGCGTACCGAAAAAAAAAAAAGAAAAAGAAAAAAAGCACTACTCACAATGTCACAAGATTCTTTGAATAAAGTTCTGCTTTTGAAAATATAGACAATGGAAAGAATATTGTGCATATTGTATCATTAGTAAGACAGGTGTACTGAGATACGTAATTCTTATCAGTGCATTTATATGGGTGGCTTTCTTTGATGAGAAACCTGGCTGAGAAGAATATCTTGTTTGTGCAATCAAGCAAAATGTTAGCATTTCAAAAATGTTTGTCTTTTAAAACACGTTCTGCATGTAGGTGAGGAAAAAAAAAATATTTCCCTTCTACTCCTCTAGGTTCTCAGCTAGGGCTTTGTAACCAAACACAGAACAGCAAGAGAAAAGCATACAAATATATTTAATGCAAGTTTTACATGACATGGGAGCCTTTATGAAGAAATGGAGACTTGAAGAAGTGATTAAACTTGAGCATTCTTATGCTAGGTTTAATGAAGATAGGAAAGTGGTGGGAAAATGTGATAGGACAAAGAGGTATGAGCTGAGAATAGTAAACTAGGGGAAACTTGCAAGGTCTGTTCATTCAGAATCCCCTCAGCATCCCTCTGTCTTCCGTGATAAGGCTGCTCCTTTCCTCCGGGGAGGGCACCTCTCACATGAGGGTCTTGGGGCTTGCTTCAGAGTGTGAAGGGGAGTCAGAGAATCCTTCCTACACCTCTGCTTCTCAGATTCCTCCAGCTTAAAGTATTCAGTATGCCAACACAATATGTTTGGGGATAGTGTGTCCTGAATTCCATCAACTACAACTAACTCAGTAGTAGGTAAAAGATCTTTGTTCTGACTTAAAGTGTGTATGTGTTTACGTGTGTGAAAGAGAAAGAGAGAATCCAAGAAACATGTATTACAAATTTCAGAAATTCATATATTGGAAAACGATGTAAACATTATTTGAAACTTTAACCAAAGGCTATTAAATTGCATTTAGATGTTATTTCTGTTCCAAGTCAAACTTCTCTGAAACTATTGTTACTCTAATTTTCTTTTAAATTAAGTATAGTTTCTTTACTTTTGAAGACAGAATAAACCCCCACATTTTTAGCCAATGAAAGTTACAAATTAAGTCTGCATTACCTACAAGCAGTGTGCAAAATCTTAGATAAATATGCCTTCACTATCCATGCCTTAGGACATGCTCTATAAGTAAGACTATCTGTGAGCTTAAGTAAGTCTCTTCGGGTGATACCCAACAGGTGTGTACCTTATCCTTTGTTTTTCTTAGGCATGGCCCAATTTTACTGGGAGATTTTAGTCCCAACGACTTGTTATTCTCATTTCTTTTTAACTTCAGAAACTTGGATCTGGACCAACAGGCTTTTAATCAATCCACTTAAGGGAATGTAAGTGGGAGACCTGTGAGGGAGTACAGGTAATCTATGGGACCTGAATTTCTGGAATCATATGAAGGCATATTGCACTTTATGCTGAATCATCAGTGTTGCAAAGGGCTGACAATCTACCCTTTTGTCATTCACGTCGCCTCCCTCTGCCCCCTTTTGTAAATTAATTTGGTTTTACTGAGGCTTTGATTAGGCAAGTTACAGATGTATTTCTTGATAGACAGACATGATGTACTGGGTAAAAGGAATTGCTATAAATAGGTCTTAGTAACGTGGTGATAAGATGTCAGGGGAGGGGAAGTGTTCTATATTCCTGTGATTAGGTCTTTTAGTGAGCCTATGCCTCTGGACTGTGAACTTCACAAGTGTTTCTCAGTTTTTTTCTCTCCCCCCTAGGTAGGACAGAATGGCTAGAGTGAGCTGGAGTTGTGTATTTCCCTTCCACAGGGTCTGGATAACTAGTTTCCCCTGAGGGTAGGCCTTGTTAAAAAGAACAGGGCTTCCCTGGTGGCGCAGTTGTTGAGAGTCCGCCTGCCGATGCAGGGGACACGGGTTCGTG